TCTAAAGCCTGCCTGGTTTTCTCGGGCTTGTGTTCCCGAGCTCCACTCAGGCATCGAAGAATAGTAGAACCTAGGATCTTGGACACTATGTTTGTCAGACTGATTCCTCTGTGGTTATCACAAGAGGACTTCTCGCTTTTCTTGAAGACTGGGATAATCAGTGATTTAGACCAGTCAAAGGGGATCGTATTTAATCCCCATACACTGGTTAACACATCCGTTAACCTGACTAAGAGCGCTCTACCACCATCCCTGTATACCTCTGGAGTTAGTCCGTCTGGTCCTGCTGCCCTTTCTTGTTTCAGGTTACCTACCGCTTACTCGACTTCTGCTAGTGTTGGGGGACCTATCCCAATGTTGCATTCAGAATTCGATTGGATAGCGAGCAATGCGATGGTGACTGGAGACCAGTTAAACTGTTCCTTGGAGTGTTCTGCCCATCGTTCCAGTCGTCCCCCCTGGGAGTGAATCGCAGATCCTGCTATAGCATCACTAACCGCAGTTGACCTTTTCCCCTCAGTCTTCTCAGTAAGTCTAAATAACTGTTTACTGTTACCAATCGCTACCACCTTTTCCATCTCTAGTCTTCGCTGCACCTCACTGTTCGCGGTCGTCGCGTAGACTTTTTCTGAATCTACTTTTAAGTTACGCTTGCTCTTCGTTGTACTTAGAGCCTGCAGGAGTGCGTTCACGTGCATCCATTAGTTCAGAAGAAGCTGCTGACACCCACTGACTCTTTTTAGCCACTCCTTCGGAGTCGGCTACGGTCTTCAGCGCCACTTTTACAGCAGATTGGAGATGGTACCAGGCTTCTTCTGAATGAGTGATAGTCTTCTGTTTCGATAACTACCTGGTCAACTGTTCAGTGTACACAGCTTTGGTGTTTTCGTTGTCCAGCAGCACTCGTGGTGGTTTTGTTTGCCAAATTTTTTCTACGTCCATTGAAACGCAGGCATATACGCGCTCGGACCAACGTGTGGTCACTATCCAAACACATACTCCAGAAAGAGTGACAGTCTTCTACCGATTCTCTCTAGCGATGACTAGTAGCAATGTGGTCTATCTGTGTCCATCGCTGAGTTGAGCTCGGTGGACGCCACGTCAGACAGTGTCTTTCTTTATGTCTGAAATTGGAGCTGGCTAAAAATAGGTGGTTATCTGAGCATAGTTGTAAAAGGCGATCACCGTTATCTGTACGTTCACCTGGGATTCTGAAAGTGCCATCTAAGTGCCTTTCTGCCTCACTCAGTCTACCCACCTGTGCATTGAAGTCACCTGCAACAACCACTACGTCCGAGCGTTTGGCTTTCGAAAGGAGGTTAGACAGTTTATGGTAGAACTCGTCCTTCACTTCATCCGAGCTGCAGTCAGTGGATGTGTAAGCACAGATTACAAAGAGACAACGGCAAGTCTCACTATTCCTTTTAGTTCTCACTGTGCCGTTCAGCCTCATAGCGCAGAGGCGACTATCAACTGGGATCCAGTCTAGTAGTGAGTTTTCTGCCTAAGTGCTTAGTGCTATACCTACACCTACAAGACCCCGAGAGCTAGCTATCGAATCTCCAGAAACTCGAAGGGTGAATTTCGCGGATTCACCAGATTGGTCAGGAGATGTCAGGTGAATAACCACATTTGGGTCCTGTATGCATGTCTCACAAACACGGCACACACACCCATGGCCCGAGTCGCTAGAGTCTTGGCCAATGAAGCTTGTTGAGCAATTTGACAGAGAGTGTGGACATTGAAGGCCCCGATCTGTAATTTGGAGCGTAGTTTAAGGAGACCAGTGATGCTGTTCTTTGGACTCAGATCGTTGTCGAAGGCTACAGAGATACGAGAAATTGAAGATGATGTAGTATCGTTAATTGAAAGACGTGAAGGAAGATTAGAAGGTAATGATGGGGGAGGTGAATAGCACTTTGAGGAAACTTGATTGCTGACAGAGTTGTGAGGGCGGTTGACACTCCCCGGCTGCCCACACCGTGGAAGGCTATTTCTTCTTAAGGTACCTGAAAGAGATTTGTGTGACAGAAGAGCCCATCGGACATGTGCTTGTGGTCTGTCGCATAGCCTTTTGTGTATGGTTGTTTTGGGGCCGGATAGTCGAAAAGAAACGATAAATGAACCAACACCGCCGGCCCGGCAGACCGTGGGGTATAGTGGAGTGTGTTATTCTTAGGGTTGACCTTTTCTAACCCCCTGCCCCTTCCACTGAGAAGGCAGCATCAGCATGGCAATGCTGGTCATCCAGGGAAACACCTTACTGCCGTCATACCCCACCCAACTAGCAGCAGTACGACTTCATCCTCACCCATATCATAGTGTAGTAATTTACATCACAACGGTAACTGCTTTTCGTCTAACTCCTACCCAACATACCTTTCTGGTATGGTAGGACCTCGAGGGAACAGGTGTTCCACTAGCATAGCTCGTTGGGTCATTGTGATATGCAAGCCCGACCACGTCAAGGTAGCAGCTATTGATCGGGTGGTGTACATAGAGGAGAGTGAATTTCCTTTGAAGAGATTGCAAATAACCTGAAACGGATATGTATTTATGCATAATATGTGATCTTGTCCAGAATTCGAAACAGTAGTATGTTTTTTTCTAAAGTGAGCTCATCAGCAAATTACTTTGGAAAAAGTAGGGGATGGACTGCTGGCCATGTAGTGAAAAGGTGCGAAAACGTTAATCAAGTGTACAAAAGGAGTGTTTTATGCAAATATGGGGCTTCTCAACAGGCATCTATTTGAAACCATTCACACCGTCTTTTTAAAGGTTTTGGATTAAGACTCTTGTTTACTGCCCGTAAAGTTAAAAATACATGCCGCCAGCACTATAATACCACAGGACAAGGGGTTTGTTGTTTTCATCTACAAACTCCTTCTTCCAGTAAGGAATGCAGTATCGGCGTAGATCGCTTGTCATCCCCGGGACAAACCTTACTGCTTTCACATTCTGTACACTCAGCCAACGGTAGGACTTCGCCCTCACACCGTCACAACTGAGTAAATTATTTGCTCTGTGACGCTGATTGTTTTTATTGTTGTCGTACACCAGACCTCTTTGGTATGCTAGGACCTTAATGGATAGTAGGCCTGACCACCACGTCAGGGTTGCTACTGAATGCTGTCTTGCATTTGAGACTACTTTATTGCAGTTGAATCTCCGAATAAGGCATTTTTATCGTAAGCTGTCAATCATTTTCACAGTTTACTCAAGAAATCGCGGTTTGGAAGTGGTCATAACCCGCAAACTTCCTGTTGGCATAAAAGTGATAACTCATGCTGCAGGCCCTTCGACTCAGGAATCAGATGACTGTAAACAAATGCAGCAGACCTTATTGGTGCTATGGAATCTCAAAAAGTGCTATATTGCTCGCTTTTCACGCTGATTGGAAACCATTTTGCCGTCAGTTTTAAAGCTATCTACATTATAAAATGGTTAGAACCACAGGTTACAATTGTTGGGTTGCAAACTGGCTATCATACATGACCCAGGAAAATATACTAGTCAGAGCGACACACTCAAGAATAATCAACTGACTGCTTACATATAAGTGAAGTGGTCAGTCAAAAAAGCACTGAAACCCATGGTTTTGGAGGTAGTCAGCCAACTGCCGTTGATACCGACATGGGTTGTGAAGCAAATGAAACTGGGAATATGCTGCAAGAAACTATGAGTTGCTGTAATCAACCCTAGCCAGTAGAGAATCACTTGTCATCTTGTCGGTTCACTTTTAGCTGGGAAATATTGCATGACATGTATGGCTTCTATTGCATCTTTAATTGAACAGATAAGGTAAAGAATTTGTAAATACATAGTAATATACCCTGATAAAGTTGGTCTCTGCCTGGAGAAAGTTATCGTAGCTGTTATTGGGCGTGCTTGTTTTCATGCTACCCTAAACTCAATCATGAAGGATATTTGTAACTAACACAATACGATGCGATCAAAACCAAACCACTTGCAAAGTGAAATGAAATTTATTTTCATACGTCAGCTGGATGGCCATGCACTCGTTACGAATTGCCATCTTCGTTCTAGACATTCTGAAAAATAAAATGTTGATTGCTATTGCAGTACATTTACTTTTTGTAAAGAGATGAAGGAACGGATTTGCCAGAAACTCTGCGCTTTCATCAGGTAATCCGTCTATTTATCAGATTTTTGTCATGTACTTTTTTTTGGCTCATTGCTTATTCTAACTGATGGGACTAGAACTCACGACGAAACTTTATTCAGCCACGATTTAACTAATATATACATGCATGCTCAGATAATTAGCTGTTCAGAAAGTTGAAGTTGAAATTCATCATCCTGATCTTTTTCTTCATATCAACAGTCTTGATCATTTTTTGCGGTTGAACAGTCTTGACTAATAATAATAATAATTTCTTGACTTATAGTTTGCCTCTGATGCGTTAAAAGATTGTACTTTGAATCATTTAGGCGAAGTACTCTTAAGAATTCTGTTTATTTTTCGTAACTTGAAAAAATACAACTCATGAAAGCATATGACATTTGTCAATGAAGTTAAACAAAATTGTTTAATTCACTATCGCCTTTTCAAATCTGTCATTATTACCACGCTAGTTATTTAATCCCGGTGAAAGTATAGAGTCTCCGAACTGTTAGTCAGTGTGAAACTTCAACGAATGGTATTGTACTAATTCTGCATAACTTTCGCGTACTGAAAAACATTTTTCTGCTTATAATTCGCGTGTGTATTTGGGGTTTACACCCACCGTCACTTAAATGTATGGTACTTCTCCCCAACTGTCATTAATTTAGATCATATACGTTTCAACAAATTAGTCAAATATTATTGATTTATTGGTATGATGTTGTATTGTTTTTTAATTCAGTTGTTTGATATGTGTTCATGATTCCTGCGTACCTAGTTTGCATTTCAAGTTAATTAAAATAACTGACCTTCCATTAAAAAGTCTTTAATTGTTATACAAGAATGGATTTGCTTTTTCATTTTCTTCATACAGTGCATTTCAATGAGTTGGCATCAGCCTGGTCTCGATGTTAGTGCTGCCCCATTACACCCGATCACACCTCATGGTCTCCTATCAAGTGGGTATATTTCTGGATTTGACCAAAGTGCAAGCGGTATAGATTCGGAAAATGCGCTCTTAACAGAACAGCGCGCTCAGTTGACTGGAAGAGAACTTCAGCAACTCCTCAGTGTAGCTCATCAAAGTTTAGATGAAGCTCAGGAAAGGTATTTGAATTTCTTTTAAGCATATTTCTGTCATGAATTTAAGAAATAACTATTGTGACAATATGTACCACTTGTTGTTCTGACTCTAATCATCTCAGTTCAGTTTTACATCCAATATTATTAAGTGATAGCGGCTAGCAGTCAACTCCAGGGCATGCGTATTACTTTTTTTCACAAATAATAGTTTTAGATTGATGTTCTCTAAAAAGCCTAACACTTTAGCTATAATTAGGTTAAAAGGTCTCCATTTCGTATAAAAAACTGTCCTCGAGTTGTTAAATAGAATCTTATTTAGTGCAATCAAACAGGCTTATCTCTTTGTGATAAGCACTTAACAGCTTCAGGAAAAATCTGGTTTTGCTGTTTCCAACTCTACGAACTACTAGAAAGTTGTTGAGTAACTGGGAAAGTTTGTTAATGATACTATAAATCAATATTGTGTTTAGATATCGATCTGTCGATGCTTAATTCACTGTATTTGATGTAGCGGAAGCACCCAATTTTATAATAAGTGACCTATGGTCAACTGATTATTTTTCTGACCCACTACCTTAAATAAACATGACAGGCAAAGAACAGGTTTCCTTACATTCATTTTAAGTTAATTTTCCAGTAGCTTACTGTGGACAGTTGTATAAATATTGTTTCTGTTTACTACAGTCTGTGCTCTAAAACGTTGTGCATAAGCTTACAATGGAAAGCTACGTTGTAAACAAGTATTCCCATTTCACATTTTGCTGGTATTTATGATATACAAGGTTGTTCAGAGCTTTATTTTACTATCCGTCACTACAAGTATTTATCGCAGTACCTTAAACTTGCTCTGTCTCATCAGCATTATTTTTGTGCTGTCATAAGTGCTGCCGGCGCTGTTACTTACTGGTCCAAGCGCTCCATTTTTAACCTGTTGGTCATGTGTTCTAACCTCACTCCATCTACCGAGGCCTAAGCAGCCACATAACGGGTGTGGCTCGTCGTCTACTGCACAAATATCCATGTGGTTGCTGAATGCATTTCGTTTTTATCAGCTCAATTGCCATATCATATTTCATTATTTGCTTTACACTCTTCACTGTATAACCTTCTATGACTCTCGATTGCATTTTGTTATTCTATCTCTGTGTTTCATTTTACTGTCTAGTCTCTTTAAGTGCTGCTGTGAGGTGTATCACCAGGCCCGTTACGCAGTATTGTCAGGTCTCACGTGTATATTGACTGACTGACTGACGTGCTGTTTACCGCTCAGTTGTAAAACATAATAATCAACAGTATGTGCCGTAACCCAGCTTCGGTTGCTAAACAACCATACATCTGTATTCATTAGTGATTAGGATGTACAATACTTCGATTACATCAGTTTCATATTACTTCTACCAAAAATATAAAGAAATGCCTAATCCCTAAGAAAACCTAATTTATAATATGTAAATATTATCATTGTAAAATTTAAGCCTTATTTTCGCGCTAATTTTGCTCCATACGATGGTACTTATTTTCACCACGATTTAGGATACTAAACTCTAATTGGTTCGTTTCCCACTTGTAATACACTATTTTGTTTTTCCTGGGCACGGGCATGGAAAGGTAGATAAATGACTGGATTTTCAGCTATAAGGACTATTCGTATGAAATAAATATACTTTCAATCCCATTGTCTTCTTCTGGTGTCAGCTGACTGTCGTGTTGAGAAGTCACTGTTCTATCGTTAATCCTGTCGCTTCGAGGAATTATATCGTTATATATACCGCTGATAATAACAGTGGTGACAGGGATTGGATCGAAAATGGACTCTTCAAAGCTGAACACATTTTTCGAACAGCAAGCGAAGATTATCGAGTTACTAACTCAATCCAGAATTTCTGCAGCTGAGTCATCGGATCCTACGCCTGCTGTTTCAACCCCTTCAGTCGAAGGAATCTCAACCAGTATCACCGTTTCATTATGATCTGGATGCTAATGTTTTTCGGCACTTTGACTATACCCAGTGGTAGTGGCAATGATGGTAACAGTAGTAATGAAGTAACTTAAGAAATCACTATGAAGAGTTTTCAGTAATTGACTAATTTCTATTGTGCGGTGACTATTAGTGTAATGCCTTATACACAAGTTATATGTAAAGTAAATCAGATCATGATTTTATAGCCTGTATGGAATTGAAACGAAGGCGACAAAATACAACAATTCCATCGTATTCTACAAAGTTTATTGTTCTACTTCTGCTAAAATTTTTGAAGAGAACTAATTGTATGAAATCAAGCTAGGTTGACTCTTTTATTATTACGGCACTTAGTATGCTACTGTCACTGCCTGGTTGTTCCAACCTCGGTAGGTGAAGCGGTGTTGGAACCTTTGACCCGTTGGTTGACCCATTAACCACAGTATTTGGTTTTAGTAATTATAACAGGACGATTTGCAATAGTACAGTCCGTTTTTTCGATAACTTCGATTAATGATCATGACTTAAAAATAATCATCAATCTTGTTCGTTTCTCATTTTATTTTATAGAAAGCAGTCATTAAATAGTCATAGGCTCAAACCTGCTTTATACAGTGTATTTTGTGAAATCAAGGAGAAAACAGGTTAGTTTGCTTTTAGATAATTTCAAAATAGTAAAAATTCTTATTATGTAAATTATAATAACTACATCTAAGCGACAATATTGTTTTCAACTAAGCGACCATACGCTTCGCTCTAATAACCAGTCAAAGTATTTTGTTGGTCAGTGATAACGGATGCGGACTTGCAATTTCGAAAAGTGAAAGTAGTAATATGAGTGATGATAAGGAAATCGAAAACGATATTTTGATGTAAACAGGCAGAAAGTAGGCAGCATCACAGAAAAAAAATAATGCTGCGTAGTGCTGAAGGAAAAAGTTAGTGTATAAGTGAAGTTCGAGTATGGAAAGTAAAAGGGTTATAAAAAAAGGGAGAAGAAAATGAAAAGAAAAGGATCGTTCGTTCGAATTCTCATAGCCTCAGCTATGTGTAAAAAACAGATTCAAACTCCATCAGAAGGATTCAGTGGGACGTGGTAAATCACCTTGTACCCTCTCGTTTCGTCTACTCCGTGACCACTACCTACCACAGGGATGAAATGTAGATTACTATGGATTTATTCTTTTTAAAGTCATGAAGGTGGATTTTCGGTAATACTTCGGTTAAAAGTTACCTAGTTATCCGTCTGATATAATCGTTTCCACGGAAGCACTTAAATTGGAAGTGGTGAAAGATGGTAACTTGTCTTTCGTTTGATTCGAAACAATTCCTCGATCAAAAAATAACAGAGGGATTGTCTAAGTCAAGGTTATTTTAATGATCCGCTATAGTCTGTGTAACAGGATCTCATCAGAAATATCGCCGTTTAATTGTTGCTTTATGAACAATCGTTTCTTTCGAACATTTCATACCTCAGGTTTTCTACCCAATCTGTTCGTATGCTTTAAAAAATTAGAATTATGAGAATAGCCTATTTCAACCGATGAATTCAAATAATTCTGACTCCTGTAACTTATTGTCTGAGCAGATTTTACGTACTCAGGTTACCAAAGATCTCACTAGAAATCTTTTGTACTGGTATGAAGGTAAAGAAGTTTATTGTCATGTAGATATGCTTATTCTGTACATCGTTCTGCCAAGTTATTCATCTCTTCGTCTACTTAATCAGAACACCAAGAAAGTGTAACTCGTTGTCATGTACTTTATCACGAATGAAGCGTGTGTACTGTTACATTTCTCCAACAGCTAGTTTTTATCCACTTTCTGATTAATGATGACGAATGTTACCTGTTTTTCCACTTTTGTAATTCAATCTAAACAAACTAGAGAATGGAACATTGGACGATGTGATCAACAAGTTAAATAAGTATTATTGATACATTGATGGTGATACATTCATTTGTTATAATTTAGATAATTTGCTACGATTAGCGTGTACAGTTTTCTCTTAATTAGCGAAGTGCAACTTGTCAAAGGCACATACGGGTGTAGCTAGGCCTGCTCTACAATCTTAAGCATGATACGTAAAATGGAGTTTTTTGTTACCATGACTTTCAATTATTGCAAATCTATGGTAGCTGATTGATAGGGTTTTGAATTTTAATCGGCTGAGGTAACATGGACATAAGTTGCGCATGCCGATCCACAGCCCACCTCAATGTGCCGTGGTAGGGTAAGTTGGATTGCAAACAATTAAAAATTCCCATTTTATACGTTAAAAATCAAATGTGAACGAAGTTGGATTAGGTTGGAAAAGGGTTCAAGGTGACCGAACCAAGACGTGGCACCAGTCAGCGAAGTCCATGACTGTTGATCTGAGTCGTGTTAGGAGGTGTTGACTGCCTGGCTGGGATCCCTGAGATGATAAGAATCAGTGGATGACGACTCTAAGTGACAGCTGAAAATCGGTCACAATGGTGCAGATATATCCACTCTTCCACCTACCGAAGCTTGAATATTCACACTAACCTTTTTCTTCAAATTGTTTATTCTGTCATACCATTTCGTCTACTTTGATATCACTTTTTCTTTGTATACTACCGTGAAGTGTGGCATGTTGAACTGATGCACTCATGTGCAAGGTTCTACATTGATTTCGTCTGTCTGTCTGTCTAGGATAGTAGGAAACAAAATCACGAGTTTCAATGATTTCCTTTCGATAACAATAAAACTCCATAATACGATGTTGTACTGAATTTCGAAAATCTTTTGAAAATCTATTATGCGGACTCTTCACTTCGTTGGAAACCTATTCACTGAGCTCTGATGCTTCTAAATGTAGTTTTTAGATGGTCCAGTTACGTACTTCCTAGGCGAGTCCCAAAATGAAGTGATATAACTTCTCGGGACCGATATTATCAGCAAATGATATAACTTTGTAATGGAGATTTCTCCTATTATTACCTTCTGGTGATGTTTGTAAATAAACTTAGATTGCTATAATTTATGTTGAAATTGAAATGCACTGTGTGATCTTCGGTCGTTTGCCAGATTTTACTATGATCTTTCCGCTTTCTTATCTATTCTTTTCTAATCACTAGTAGCATAATTGCTAACATTTCTGAACCAGTTAGGTGTGATGTGAGAATTCAGCACTGCATGTGTTGGAATTCATGAAATGTGAATGGGTGCGATATATCTACCATATGTATGAAATGAAGGCTTTTCGTGATAGTGTTTTACATCCTACTTCTATTTTATATGGTATTTAGTAAGCTTGAGTTCATTCTGTGTTTTTATACACATAAAGTCGTAAATAGTTAAAGATTTATCATTCTACCCTCGGCGTTCTTTTGATAACACGTGCAGACATGTGACAACATAGAACTTTGCTCTAAAGTACATCAGTTGAAGTTCCGCTGGTACTACGTGTGAAAACCAAGGGAAATGGAAGTACATTAAAACAAACATGAAAAATGATATGAGTTAATGCAGAATAAGTGTGAAGTAAAAGATAGAAATTTGCTGTCGATTTTCTTTTGTATTATCCAAATTCTGTAAACAAGTATTTCTAGCTTGGTATGGACCCCAACTTATCTGTCTCATAATTACTTAAATTCCTCAATGATCTGTTAGATCCAAACGTATAAATGACTACTTCCTTGACATCAAAAATCGAAGTATTAACGCCAAAATGTATGGTATTGAAAAGCAGAGAAGCAAAAAAAGTGAAGGGATTGGTTCATTAGCTTAGGTACCCAACTTCCACTTATTCAATCAAAAGCTCAAAAAACCCTTCTATCTACTAACTTTTTATACTACGCGACTTACTCTTCATCAGATTTTACCGTAAGGAACGAACGTTATGTTTATGGAATCTATTCTTTCTCTGAATACTTCAAGATTTGTGCAACTAATCATAATTTATTCCGTTAGAAATATGAAAACGGAAGCTTAATCGAATAACTCTATCATGCTGAGATCCTCGCTATAGAGTTCCGCAGTATTGTAGTCACTATTCAAGTAAGTTTACCCATCCGACACGTCATAGGAAAACAACTGAGTGAAATATTTTGACATGTCAAATATTCCTTGATTGAATTCATCATTTGTGATAGAATTGATAACCAGCAATTGGTAACCAGCATTTCACCGGTATAGATTGAGTTGACTATTGGTTCACCTGTTTAGTCAATGTATTAACGAGATAAATTTTTCCGTACTCCCTATTTCGGAAAGGAAGTCTTTGAAAATAGGAATTCTTAAGGACGTTGTCTTTGCTTGTACTGATGACTTTGTGTGATAAAAGAAAAGAGTACTTTCAATTCTCAACTTTTTGACTTCTGTTTACTATATTTTTCTAAAACCGTTTAGCTCTGAGTCTTCGGAACTCCGCTGGTTCTGCCGTAGAGGATGAAGCTAATTCACCGGACCCACAGCTCTTACGTTTGGACAAAATGTTGGTTGCTGAAGGTGTGACTGGTCCTGGTGGTAGCTTAAATAATGATCTCAGTGATGGTCCTGGAGACTTGGGAGGTGGACCAGGTGTTGGTTTGGGACCTGGTGGTGTCGGTGATTGCAATCAAATTGAACATGCTGATTATCGTGCCAAATTATCACAGATCCGTCAGATATATCATGCAGAGCTGGAAAAGTATAAAAATGTAAGTTGTTTATTCAGGGTATTTTAGTAAACTGGGAAAAGAGTTACTGAAGCACACGGTTTTTGTCACAGGCGTCTTGTGAGCGCAAGCTTCAGTACCTAATAACTTACCAGATGGTTGGACCTGCCACATATTTTCGATTTTACGCCTCTTACAAGTTTTCCTTAAAGGTTGATGAGCTCCAAACGTTTCAGTGATATGTGGTTCAAAATACATTATTATATTAGAACATAAAAATGGAACAGCAAGGGCGCCAAGAAATGCACCACACAAAATAATCTAACAACGTTATGAAGACAAAACGATGGGAAGTGGATAAGCACAAAAGAAAAACACAAGAATAGAATGATTAAAAGGGCAATTCGGTCTGATACATTTAAAACAAGGCATTCATTACTTTTCAGCCGCAGAGGATAGAAGGAAGCTACATCATGACCGCCACTGGTTTCTATTCTGAACCGTATCTGATTACGTCCTAAGCCACTGAGTTACGTGGTCTCTCGGACCTCATCCAGGGAGTTGTGATGCACCAACAGATGCTAACCTAATGCAGCTATCCTTCATCACACGGTGCCACATCATACAACTGACCACCCTTTCGCTTCTTCCATCCAGCCCCGGGGTTAGCAGACAGTAAACAGTATGGAAGCCGTTGGGAAGACATATGCAAGCCACTGAGACCGGTGTTTCCAGATGACTCCACTTATTGAATGACGGCCTCGATTATACCCATATACACGCTGCCGTACCTCAGGATGACTAACGTGGTCTTACCATCAGAAACGGGCAGTTATATGGAGACAACGATGATCAGACATACAGAGTTGACGCACATCCTCAGCTCGGAAAGGCTAGGTTTCACAGGTGTAGAGTAGAACTGCTCACATAGAAGCGTTGTAAACCCTATCTTTTACGGTCAGACTAACGCCGCGAAGTCGCCAATGGTCGCTAAGATTGACGTGTACCACTCCAGCTTCCGATATGCGTTTAGAAATTTTATCACTCATACCTGCACCAATACTCACACTACCACCCGGATACACGAACTTCTCGACTACTTCCAACGACTCACACCAGGGGTAAGCGCAGACACAGGCTCCCGCCGATCTTGCAAAAGTACTTTGGAATTCAATGGTGCAGAGCACACACTACTTACGGACACTAATCGCTTAGTGGTTACGTGCGATTTGAGTAGCTTATGTGTTACCAAACAGTAAGACGATATCGTTCGCATATTCAAGGCCCAATAGACATTCTCCGAGTAGTAGATCTACATTATCATCACCCACTTCTTTCAGAGCTGTCTGAAGAATGTCATCTACGGCAAAGTTAGAGGAGTAGAGAAGTCGAGCAGCCTTGCCTAACCTCACTGCTATTTTGGGACAATGGAGGCAGGTGGTTGTATGTCCTCATTCTGCCTGAGGTGTTACTGTGTAGGGCTTTCAAGATGGTAATAAATTTCTCAAGTACTCCCCTATCTAACAAACAATTCCAGAGTACAGTTCTGTCCAATGAATCGAAGGCTGCCCTAATGTCAAGAAACAAAACGATTGTTGGTCTGTAATGTCTAGCGATGTTCAAGCATCTGGCAAAGGGTAAACACATGACCAGTACATCCACGACCTGAACGAAACCTGGCTTGCACCTCGCGAATGATTTTCTCACGCGTTTTGCAAAGTCTTCTAAGTATGATAGTCGCCAATATTTTCGAAGCAACTGTAACAGACTAATATCCCGATGATTGTCACATACATTACGTAGACCTTTTTTACAGATGGGCACATCGATGGCTTCATTCCAGAGTGATGGAACATACTCAGTCTGCCATACCTTCTCAAAAAATCTAGTCAGTCCCCTGACTTGAGTCGTTCCTCCATCTTTAAAAGGACTCGGGGGTGATTTGTCTGAGCCAAGTGCCTTGTGGTGTTTCAGAACTTAGAGCTCCTAATGGACCTCCGCTTTGTTAGGTGGGTCAGTATTAACTGACCATGGAGCACTGAAACTGAAGATGCTGGAGCCGTGGGCCAGGTGGACTGCATTTCGAAGTGCTCCACCCAACGTCCCAGGAATTTTTGCAGATTTTTTATCGGGGTACCATCTTCCTCACAGACCGTCTCACTGACACCAGACGTCTTGCTACCAGTGGCTGAAATGAGCTGGAACGGCTCCTGACTATTGACAGATGCAGCTGTCGCTTCCATATTACCCACCCGATCTGACCGCCAAGCCTCACAGTCCTTGTGTAAGCGTTGTGTAACCTTTCGCGTAAGAGACTTACGCGAGCCAGAGGGAGGACTCCAAGCAGGACGACGGCGATGGCTGTACTACAAGTTAGTGCTGGCTAGAAATAGGTTATGTTCTGCGCAAAACTTCAGAAGACGGTTCCCATTATCTGACTTGCGGTCAACTAGTCCTTATTGGCCCCACCTAAACATTTCTTCTCTGAACCTAGACGCTCGATCTACGCATTCAAATCCCCAGCTAGTATTACGATATCTGTCGAGCGCACTTGGTTGAGGTCACTCAGTTGATGGTAAAATTCATCCTTGGTTGCATCCGGACTACAATTCGTCGGATCATAGGTAGAGGTAACGAGACATCGTTTCTATTGCCGATTACTTCTTACTCGAGTTGGATCTTCTAACCTAACAGCACACAGACGACTTTTGATGGGGATCCGGTCGAGTAATGAAGCTTCAGCTGGAGCGCTTACTGCGACACCGATACCAGAGACACCTGTCGCTGATGGCACAGGGTCCCCGAATAAGCGCACATACTTTTCGAGCTGACAGATGGGGAACTAACTCAATGCACTTCACTAGGATCTTGTATACGGGTCTCTGGGATACAGCATACGTCAATGGCGAGACTTTCCAAAGTCCTAACCAAACCTGCCCGTTGTCCGATGTGCATGAAGCTGCGAATGTTGAAGGTGGCAAGCTTAAACGGCCCATGTTCACCACTGGTTTGGAACCAGGGTTTCGCAACTTCCCTAGGTGGACCCTCGTAATCCACTAATCGGGTGATAATTGCCGGACATTCGCCATTTTACTTCTTTGGAAAACACCCCACCACGTGAAGGCAGTGAAGAAGACTTCTCTAACAGAAGCTGTGAACATACAACACGGTGTTTCGGTGGACATCAGGTGAATTTAAAAGGCTCGTTTCGGTGGATCAGTGCTTCTATGTGCGCATAATGAAGAGCACCAAACACCTTAAGCATTTATCCCTGTGGAGCTTATATTCAGTCACTAAATTTTACCATCCTCTACCAGTACAGTTGTTGCTCATCGATTTAAGCAGTCAACTTTCGATTAAAGGATCATGTGTCTTTATCCAGCCGTCAGATAATTAGTGTAACTCATAGCTTACTACGGAACAGACATAATTGTTTAGTTTGTGCTACATATTTCATTGAATACCTAATCGGTGATGTAAGGTACATTTAAGTTTACTAACGATCCTCTATTCACCAACCTAAAATATGTGTGTATGTATCACATAGTTGATCATATTATCGATAGATTTCGCTCCTTTTATTATGTTCTTCCTGTTAATTGCAAGCAGCTTTGAATAGAATATGCTACACTTTTCTACTATTCCTTGCATTTCTATTCATGCTTCTTGTTTACCATTTAGGCAAAGTATATGAATTCCAATTTCACATGATATTTTGAATAACTATTCAGTTATATGTGTGTGTGACGTCAAAGATGTATTGTTAAAACATTTCATAAGATAACCAACTCATCTTTATCAGACATTCGCTTCAGAATTTATTTTACCTACAGTATTCTTAATCTTATTGCTTAAACATTTTCACTCTTGTTATTGTTAGGCATGCGATGAATTCACAGGACATGTCATCAATTTATTACGGGAGCAAAGTCGTAGTCGGCCTATAAGTCCAGCTGAGATTGAACTCATGGTTGGCATAATTCGGAGGAAATTTCGAGCTATTGAAACTCAGTTGAAACAAAGTACTTGTGAAGCAGTTATGATACTGCGGTCCAGATTTTTGGACGCAAGGTAAGTTCACAAATAACCATATATAAATAAAAATAATGCTGTCGGAAATCAGTTTTTAAGTATATCGAACAGGTTTCCAGCAGTCAGTCTACTGATTAAGGTCCATAATACGTCTGCACGAAACACATCAAGTTGGATAGTGTAATTAGAAGACGAAGTTTATCTGACCAATTTGATGTGTTTACTCAATACGTTTCGTTACGCATTTGCTTGTCAAGTCGTTCTACATAAAACCTATGGATGAGAGGACAAATAGAAGTTTTTGAACAATGGGGATTAAATTTGAGAAAGATAAGAAAGGAGGAATGATATACATGATTCTAATCATGGCAAGAAAACAGATTTTGGCTTAATATATTATCGAAACAACTCACAGAATATATGTCCAAACAGCCTTCAAAGGTATGCAGAGAAACAGTCAGGGACGTATACTAAGATTTGTGGAAGCCATAGCCATACACAGATTAGAAACACCTTTGCTTACACAAAGTTGTTTATTCTTACACTACACCCACCTTGGTAAACTTTGTTTTCTTACCAAGATTATGTCACTTCCTGTTTGTTCTAGTCTTTCTTAATTTTAATCCCCTATTATGTTAATTGTTGTATTTGTTCTCCCACTCCTCGGTTTAATATATATTGACTTGACAAGTAAATGTGTGGTCAGATTGTTCGAAGTGTATTACGCAAATCCACCACATTGTTCAGATAAACTTCGTCTTCCAGTCACGCTATCCAAATTTATAAAAGAGACTAATCGTTTGACACTGATTGTAAAGTGTTACAAAACGCCCAGTAGTTTGCACTGAAATCCTAAATAACTGGACGAGATGATTGAAGCTCACCAACTATCAAGAAAAAAATTAGGAATTATCATAGACCATCAATAGAATACACAGTTTATTATCATACCTTTACTGATTGTTCTTGTCATCCTTAGTTTACTGCATATTAAAGGTATAAATGTATCGTTTATTACCCTTTTGAATTTAACCGGCATAGTCTGACACAAAATTGACAATGCGGAACACTTTATTTCTAATTTCGTCCAGTTATAACTTTCTGAATGTGATAAAAGCGTATGAATGTAGAACTGCTTCACTGATAGCCATAATTCCTTGAGGTGTTTTGAAAGATAAAGATTTTGAACACAGTCCATGTGCTGGAAGAAGTAAGATATCAAACGACACTGTGGTCTCCTTAATAATGGATTTAGTCTGTAAGTAGTATACACTCACAAATCTAATGTCTTTGAAATAAATCCTATCGTCAATGTCCGTAAAACTTTTGGATGGTCAAGTATTAAACTGTTGTTCCGATGAACTATGAAGCAATGTGTATTAACTTTCATTTGATATAAACCTGGGTCCAGAAATTGATGTAAAAAATTGACCTAGTAAATTAGAGCTGAAGAATAATTGTGTGTTTTACCCAATACCTATAAATATCAATCATAACTCATAAATTGATATGGGTGATCATTGGCGTAAAAGACTCAAGTGCTATCTGAGTGTTTCCCTTGATCAATGGATATCCATTTAAAATATTTCTTGAAACTTTCAGTCTAGAGTTTGCGCTTGCTAATACTTACTTTCAGATGTGTCTGTAAATGTGGAGCTATGACTCATTTGTTCAGGGAGTTGACTTTCAGTCAATGGGCCATGAGTTTGAGCCTCGCCCCACCTATCGAGGTTTCGGTACCCAGGTAGTATCATTAGCCCTCATTACCTACTGCATATGTGGACAAGGTTGCTGAGTGCATTTTGACTCGATTCGACTTTCAATTTCGTGTCCGTGAAAATGGTAATAGGGATTAAATCTGTACTTTTTACCATCGACCATAATATGATTCTCTTTTTTTTATCTGTACTTCACTGATCTGATTAAAACTTTTTGATCTGTTCACTGAACTGCTTTTAGACGCAAACGTCGAAACTTTAGTAAAGAAGCCACTGAAGTACTGAATGAATATTTTTATTCTCATCTGGCTAATCCGTATCCTTCTGAAGAAGCCAAAGAAGAGTTGGCTAAAAAATGCGGGATAACAGTTTCACAGGTTAGCTTTTTGAAATAATTTCAAACTTTATTAACTTATGAGAATTTTTTGGTGGTGATTAGCACTAGAATTAATAGAAAGCTTTTTTTTTCCAAACTTTCGCTTTACGATTGAATGTATTTACATTCCAGTGGGTGATGAAGCCCACTTACTCATTAGGATAATTGATATTCTCGGAGGTTCGATGCATAATCGCGTCGAACTTTGTCATACAAGCCTCACCAGTATTTCATGAAGAACTACTCATAAAGTCACTTGACCAGACGTTTAAGATCAAATATTGAAATCTCGAAGAACACTAAACAGTGTTCACCCATACCATGAACTACAAATCTAACCTTGTTTAATATGCTTTCAAACGGTAAAATGTTATCTAATGGATCATAAAGTTCAGAATTCACGTATTTTGTAACGAATATGAGGGTCTGAATAACAAAACAAGGAAATTACAACTATGTGTTCATATCTGTTGAACCAAGTTTGTGCAAAAGTACAACAACACATAGCAAACATATAAACATTTCACCTATTAAAAACAACTTTTTCACATCCCTCAGTGTTTGATGATTTTACGCATAACTAAACTTCTAAAATTCAGTACTTAAAAAAGTTTTTTCCTCAGTGCACGTGAATCACACTTGTAGTAGGATAGTGTATCCAGTTGTCCAGCTTCTGTGACCTGGAGTTATTCCCTATCACTTTATTTATGACAGGATACAGTTACATCATTTTGGCAATGTTATTACGTTACCCACTAACAGTACTATTTGAAGAGATCTATCACCCGTGAATATAGCAAATAATAAGTAAAAAGAGCTTCGAAATTCCGAAAATCGTCAACCAATTAGGATAAGATAGTAGTTTGCCTACTGTTATTCAATCACAGTCACCTTATTTAACTACCACTTCCTCGCGAAATATAATACACGCAGGACAACGAAGACTTCTGTCGCGCATGCAATGCCACCACTTCATAATGGACTACAAAAGTATGTACTCAACAATAATAAAACAACTGACCATGTTATGAGTCATCATAGCAGATCACTGAGTTATTTTCGGACAAGTCCTTTTACTTTTTCATTGAAGTTGTTGGAGGTACGGTATCATAAATCGGTGAAAATTTCATTATCAAATTTTTGCAGCTTATGAAATGTCACACTTCAGGTTTTGTACTCTAAAGCCTTTATTTGCTATATTTACTTACCTTTTGGTTTACATTGCATTACTAGTAGTGAAAAAAAAATAGTCAATCAAACATTGTTCATATCAAATTAAGTATAATTTGCTTTTGAGCTTGTGGCATTACAGTTTTACTGAAATGTCATGATAGTGTTGTTTCTTATTTTTTTCACAAGGTTATCTAGTCTAATACCATACTTTCTGTTAACTAGTGAGTTGTTTAATCATTTTTCAGGTCTCAAATTGGTTCGGAAACAAGCGCATTAGGTACAAGAAGAATATCGTGAAGGCTCAAGAAGAGGCGAATATGTATGCTGCCGCAACTGCAGCAGCAGCAGCTGCCGCTGGCTCAGTAGCTTCTGGGCCTGGTGGTCCGACATCATCTGATGAAGTAAGTAATGTTTTTGTATGTCTTTTTGAACGAAGTTCTCACTTTCAAACTCATAAGTGCATTCTCTTATGCATATTAGCTGAATTGGTCAGATAAACTGATGCGCAAGTAATGAATGGGTAGCCCCAGTGACTTCTTAAACCAATTATTAACAACGATAACTCTTCCGGTGCCTTATTCTCCTATGAATTGCGAGAATATCTAATGATTTTACGTAAACTACATTCTTGAAAGATTATCAATTCAGAAAAATAGGCTACTAAGTATATACTCCTAGTTGAAATAAAAATACATCACAAGATGATTGATTAATCGACTTCAATCTGTGTAATAAATAAATGGAGTGTGAAGTGAGATTTCTTCGTCAACGGGCAACAATCCAAGTAGTTTATTTCCACTTTGGTTGCTTCCAGTCATTGTGATTCTTAACGTGCAGCTGTAGCAATCTTATTTGGTAGCGATTTGTGAGATATCTCGACATACGGCTAGCTTTACTCTTCGCAGTTATTATTCTTAAGTTTTTATAATAACTTGTCCTGCATACTACTGTGGACAAGAAGGTTGAGATCCATAAAATCAAATCTAGTATACCACCTCTGTTTGTCTTTACAAGCGGTTTGTTTACTGTATTCTTATAGGACGTTTTAGTACTAACGTACAGTCCTTATTTATGGTGATTCCCATTTGACTATGGACGGAATACAGATTGCTGTTTTTGTGTAGGCTGGCCAAGCCACTGGGTGAGACCTAAGAAGTGGAGACCATGTCTCAATAACCTTGATCATTACTATTATTATAATCATAATATATTGGATCGCAAACTTGGTACTGCATAGGCACGAAAATTTGCGCCTTACAGAATAATAAAGCACGACTATGAAGACACAAAAAGTGTAGGAGAGCATAGAAACAAACTGTAGTGGCTTATTCAGAAAGCAGTCTAAAAGATACACCCAAAGAAGCACTCACTACTTTCACTCTGCTTTTTAGCAATATAAGAAACAAGAAAAGTTCAACATCTTCGCCACTGGTTTCCATTTTGACCAATATTTGCTATTGCTGCAAACGTTTGAGTCGCTTGATATCTTGAAATCCTATCCAGGAAGCTAGGCAATGCAACAACCCTTCATCCCATTGTACCACGTCTTACACTGGCAACCTCTCTACCTCTTTCAACCAGTCCCAAGGAAAGCGAACAGTGAGTGGTATGAGTTCCTCTGGGATGGTATGCGTAACATATGTCTGAGCTACGGAAGCCGGTGTTTCAATATGATCACACTTATTGACTGACGATCTCTATCGCACAGAAACACGCACCACCTCACCTCACAAATACTTACATAGTGTTTTTATCGGATCCAAGAGGTTGTGAGGAGACAATTATGGTCACAAAGGCAAAGTTGTTGGACATTCTCGGCTCGGAAATGCCAGGTTTTTCAGGTGTAGAGCAGAACCACCACACCGACGCGTTGGACAATTAACCTTGAATAGCAAGATTTACGTCACTATGGTGCTAAGGGTGGTCTGAATTGGTGTTTATCACACTGGCTGTCGATATACACTTGGAAATCTCATCACTTACACCTCCACCAGCATTCATACAACCACCCAGGTAAACAAACTTTTTGATAACTTCCATTGTTTCACCGCTAAGGATGAGTGTGGGTATAGGTCCCGCTAATCATGTGAAAATACTTCGCATTTCGACCGTACAAAGAACACACCATACTTACTTATATTGACTGCAATTTGAGTAACCTGTATGTTGTCTCACAGTAAAACGATATAGTCTGCATACTCCGGGCCAAATAGTCTTTCACTTAGTGATTGGTCTATACCACCACTCACTTTCTTCACGGCTTTTTGTAGAATGGCAAGGTTAAAGATAAATGGCGAACCTGGTAAGCCTATCTAGCCCTAATGGAGATAGGGGGCTGTATGTCTTTACTCCATCTTACTGCGACCAACACCATTAAGGCCGGTCACAGACTCCGCAGGGTCCCAGGGTAAGTGCACCGTGAATACACTTTTGGTGCTGAAAAATGAGGGAGTTATTAAAATCACCACTGGAATCCTGTTTGCGGCTGTCTGAGGTACAGCATGTATCAGCACCGAGGTTTCCCAGAGTCCTGATCAAATCGATCTACATCAAGGTCCAAATGCTAAAGCTGGTGCGGTTTCAGAATGCTTGTATCACATATTGCACTGATGAACAGCTTTCCTGAAGCAGCTGTTTAACAACTCAACATGATTTACACGGAACAGAATCTTAGTCAGTGACGAATAAATCGGTGAAAAAAATGCACAGGAAGATAAATTTTAAAATGATAATGAAGATTTGAAAATAATGACGAAATAAAGATGAATGGAACGATAGAGCAGCAATTTCGTTACACAGTGGACTTTGTTTCCAGTGGAAGATTTGGTGAACGCTTTGTATTCTACATTGTTAGTTTTGATTCATAAATTGTGCGTGGCTGTGATATTATCCCGACTCCCAGATTGAAGCAGATGGTTGTCTTGAGTAACCAATTTCCTAGCCTTTGACATGACGTCTGATTCATAAGTCAGCGGAACAACATAACGTTTGGCATTCCGATGTTTGCTGGTGACCAGGATAGGCTCATACACCATTTCTCCGTTCTGGATAGTAGGATTCATTTGGACCGCTTGGTTGGAATCAATAGTTTTTTAACTTCCCTAGACTATACTCTCTTCTCTCTCTCTCTCTCTCTCTCTTTGTTTCTCAGTACACCAATTCGGTTATAACGCCGAACGTATGCCTTCACCCTCATACTTTTTATGGTGACCACGTACCACGTGAATCTAAAGTGTAAGACTTCTGTTCAGAGTTTATGGATGCGGACTACTTAAGGGCAGTTCGAGGGAGTGACTGGGATTATCCGCCCTTGGCCATGTACTTAAGTAATTCAAACTAATAACTACAATCCCTTAATGCATATTTGCTCTGATAATCACTTTTTTTTCCACGCAACGACCTTCAACAATAAAAGGAACGTTTTCTTACTTGCCTTATCATCATTACCACAAAAGCAGACACTGAACTAAATCAACAGAACATTCGTACCCATTTGAAACACAATTTTGTGTATGTCTAGAATTTCTAACTGGAATGCTTTACCAAACTCAGCTAGTAGATGACTTCAAGCGTTGACATACAGTGAAAGGATCTCTAACGATGAGATAGTCTGTCACTGCATCAGATATACTGTAAGGACGATGGAAGAGGTAGTTGAGACATCCGCACAGTATGGCATGGATCAATATCGGCTGGCTAACTCTTGAAACTAAAATCTGTAACAGCGTTTGCTGACAGTTTTAGAATACTTTTCTCACTCTCTAAATTTAGACTATTACTTCAGTGCTGGTCTTCATTTATACTTCATTTAATAATAGAGAGCGAACTGGTTGTAGTCGTTGTCCATTTTACTCACATAGAGGTGTACTGAACCAGCCCAAGCTAGTAACGAAATCTACAAAATCCTTGTCTCACTTTTCCAATTTAAACCATTTGTAGCACCGGCATGATATCTCAATACGTAATAGGAAGCTAGTGTATTAGAATAGCATTTCTCTGTATCCTATTTTATGGCTGTGAAACATGATCAGTAAAGTTCGTATGTATGAGAAAGATCTAAACATTTGAGCATTTTTCTTCGTAGCATCGCTTGTGCATATCCGAATCGGCCATATGCACAACGTAGTCGTAGGATCTTAAGTAAAAACACTAGGTCAGTTGACTAGGTTATAAGCTTCACTAACTGACAGAAGTGGCTGGGACATACATCTTGCATATCAGGCTACCACCTCTCGAAATGAAATTTTAGTTGAAACTTAATTAAGTTTTGAAAAACAAGTGAAGGTAATCAGGCAGGACTCATTTCAGTTGATGATGATGATGATGATGATGATGACTCATTTCAGTTGCCTGAGTTGTGAGTTTTGGTGTATTCATCATTGTTGTGCTAGCAAGATAACCGAAGACACAGTTCTAAAACGTTGGGCAATATGTTGCTAACAGTAGGCATATTCTTATTGAAACTTCATCTGAGCCTTTAAAAATTCGTATTCTTATTATTTCCTTCAGAGCTCACGAAAGAAATAGATTATTTCTTGAATCTTATTGTCAAAAATCTGCATACCTTATTTCTTTTCGGTTTTCCTGCTGGTATTTTCATAATCGATTATATTATTATCTTTATTTTTGTGTCATGCCTTTTGGTGTTTTCTCCTGGATGGACTTACATGAATTGTGTCAGTTTAGATTTTTATACGATTATGCTGTATTTCGTGTTGTGTTTACATCTCATCTATTTATGAGATTGCTAATAATCTTACTAAACGTTTGTATGATAATGCGTTATTTTGCTTACACTCCTGCACATACGTAAAACATGAATTAAATATGAAAACATTTTTCATGAACCTTTTTTACTTAAGCTGAAACAAGGTTCTACTAGTAAAACGGAAATCTTTTTCATAGCACTGTTTTTTTTCTATGATTTTCAGCATTCTGTTGGATATGGTCATCCTGGTTATGAATACGATGACTCCATGGGTCTTCAAAGACCCCTTGGTCAATTGTCGTGTCCAGCGGATCATGATTCTTGGATGACTGGGGGAGCTGGAGTTCTAGGACCAGGTGGCTTAGATGAACCTGACTGTAAACGCAGTAAACTTTGAGTACATTTATCTTTATGAAATATCCCTACAAATCAGGCTGGTGAAGTAATTCTATAGCCTTATTTTACAGTTGAGGAATGTCTTTAATGCAGCCATGTTTTCAACAAATTTCTGTTTCTTTGCTTCTGATAACTTTTATCACTCATGCTCATTTCATACATATATTTTGTAGGTACACAAAGTATCATGCAATCCAATTACATTTGGATCTTTTTGTATTCATATTGAGCTCTGTTGGTTTTTTTCCCGTTCCTCTTCCCATATTCGGTTTCTTTCTCTCTCTCTCTCTCTCTCTCTCTCTCTCTCTCTCTCTCTATATATATATATGGCAGTGTTTCTGGATGAAAATCCATGATGTTTGCAGTCTTGTTCTAACTATGTAATGTGTGTTCTTTTCTTCTTGATAGTTAAAATGGATTGCTTTGTTAAGTATGTAACTGTTCACTTTGGAATCTGGTACCATGGTAATACTTTTGTTTTTATTGGTGTTGTTACTCTTAATGTCGTCGACGTCCTTATCTCGGTCATTTGTCAATGACATCCCTTTGGCAAAGGCACTACACAACTGTAATACCGTTGTTTTTAATCTCCTATTTGCAGTTCCATGTTTCTACTTTGCTGTTATGATCTCTGCTTTTATTTGTAATTCATTAGTGGTTAATTTTTTTCGTGATTTTGTTTGTTGATTGTTTTTTTCTTCGAAGTGCACTCTCACCATTTTGTAAGTTCTATGTTTCATAATTGTGTTGTGAACGGATTCTTTTTTCGTTTACTTTCAATAAAACAGTCTTATTGCTGCCTTACTATTATCAAGATAATTATTAATGATTGGAAGGGGATGTCTCAATTCTCAGACGGACATTAAAATTGTTCAATACTCAACTTATTTCCTTTTGAGATCTTCTCAACAATTCAAATTTTCATCGGTCGGATAGCGTAGTAATGCTATTATTTTAAACTTAGGAGGTCATGTTCTCTAATTTATACACCAGTGTGGATTACTGATAATATCAAGTTAGCTGATCACCACAAAAAGCATCGTATTATGTACTTTTCTAACGATGGATTTGTGAATTGAGTATATTTTTTTATTTCCAATTAGCGTTGATTTCTTGCAAATCAAAGATGACTAAGCCTATTAGATTTGTTTATTTGATATATAACACACAATGGTACAGGTTTATTTTACTTGACGTTTCGAGCATAAATTATTGCTCATGATTAAAGCAGTGTAATCACACCACTTTCAACAACCAACTTTTATATTCCTTCCACCTCATATTTTCTGTGTTTACTAGTAGTAAAATTGTCCATATCTCTGTTATAGATGTTGCATCATTCCCACTAGATGTGTTGGCTATTGATTCGATGAACAAAGATTCAGTAATCAATCTATCTCTCTACCTAATTATATTGAATTCAAGTATAGTGGTTTTATCCTACCCTATTGTGTGTTGTGTGTTAATGTTAGGGATTGCAATAACCGACTTTTTTCTAGATTATTCTTAGTATACGGGTCTGTCATTCCATATTTAGCTGAATTCCAATGTCTAACTTATCCTGAACGGCTAGTTTCATCTATTTACTTGTCTTGGCATGCTAGTCTAACTGTCGATTGGATTGAAGTAGGACAATTGTGTGGAAATATCTTTTATAAGGACCAGTAAACGCAAAGGTATCAATAAATAAGGTGATAAGTTTGTCATGAAAGCGAAGTAATGAGTCTGATAGAAGAAATTCTGTGATAGGATTATTAGGAGAAGTAGTTATACAGCATCTGAGAAGTAAATGAACTTAACTGAAATGTAGAATAGTGTTTCAGCGAGTGACAATTCATTATGAGACTGGGGAGATTGAACAAGAAAAGCTGGATAGATTGGTTACTCACTGCAATCGATTCATAAAGATCTATCCATTAAACTACGAGCCCATTGGTGTTTCCGACTGAAAACATCCTGATAGGCGATCACTTTGGCAAAAATAAGGAAATCGCCTACAATGCTAGCTGAAGTAGTGGTGGATAGTGGCTAGCGGTGGAATTCAGGATGCGCACTTCGTCCTGTTTGGGACTCGTCACCTGGATGTGCCTGCCTCTCAGTGAGTGATGTTCCCACTGGGATTCAGACTCGGGAGCGATCGCTTCAAACTCCAGAGCATTATCCACTATACCACCGAGTCACGATAACCACTTCTTGTGCGACGGGTATAGTTTTAATATAATTGCTTGTATTATACCGTCGTTGATTTGACCGAATTGATCGGTCTCTATTGGTATATAGGCTGCTGTGCGAATGCCTCGATATTAACTGTATTCTGGTTATAGTAATGATGGTTAGTGACTAGCAGTGAAATCCAGGGTGCGCATTTCGTCCTATTTGTGACTCATCGTTTGAAGCGATTACCCACAAGTCCGAATCCCTCTGGGAACAACCCTCACCGGTAGGCAGGCACATCCAGCTAATGAGTCCCAAATAGGACGAAATGCGCACCCTGGATTTCACTGCTAGTCACTATCCATCAAAACTTTAACTAGAATACAGTAAATATCGAGGCATCTGCGCAGGAGCCTATATACCAATAGAGACCGATCAATTCGGTCAAATCAACGGCAGTATAATACAAGCAGTTATACTAGCTGAAGTGTTTAGAAGCAGCTAAGTTCCTCACAGCAATCGCTTTATCAGAACTTGTATCATGTATCATCTTGGTTTCTAGTCACGTGTTTTTCGCCCATATACATAAAGACTAAGTGCGTACTATATCAATACACTGTTACTTGGTAAGCCTGATGATACTATTGAAAATACCTCGACATTTAAACGAACCAATGTACAGAAGTCACTTCGGTGTACATCTAATAAGAATGTTCAAATGCAAATCAATGGATGGAAAAATACTTGGTAATTAGTACATAAAAGTTTCGGGATGAAAAATAGAGAATAATCAAAACATGGCAAAATCGGTTTCTGTCGATAATCCAGTAGAAATGTCACTGGTTTAAAAAAATGCACAAGTTAGTAGTAATCTAAACACAACTCGAAGGAAGATGGAATGCTATTTGTTTCTAGAACCGATGGGTTTGTTGTAGACGATATGCTAGACAGAGAAGATAACCAGAATGGCTTCAACATGGTCTTTAGTCGTAAATTATGCTTCAGCTGTTTTAAAACCCGTCCTAAATAAAAACAGTTACTGTACCCTGCTGATAGTCAAAACGATTATGATAAACTTTACTAGATCTTTCGTATAATTTGTTTTTATTTCTTCCACCTGCTAATCTCTTCTAAGTTTTCAGTCTCTTTATTTACGAATTTTGTTTAAAACGTTAGGTTGCATGGGTTGTCACTTTGTTTTATATTTAATTACTGTGCTATGTTTCAGTAATGATTATTTCTATGGGTTTAATATCCTGCCTTTCATGTATGAATCACTTTTTATGTGGACTGTATTGCAGGGGAAAGACTTTCCGTCATACTACCCAGAGTACTAATGTCTCACATTTACGAAGTTCTTGAGCTTCACTTGGTGGATTTTCCTCAAACTCTTCTGTGATATGTGTACTTCATTAGTTAAGTTAGCAAAGTATAGATATAGAAACTTCTGGAGAAGCTTCTAAGTAGTTTGCTAATTTAAAGATTTAGAAGTAGGTAGACCTTTGATGTTAGATTGGTTGCGTTAAACCGTTTATCTTTCGGTGTATAGAAATAATACAAAACTGATCTGTAAATTATGGTGTGAGTAAGAATTTTTACCAAGAAGCCATAACTGATAATGTGTTCTTGATTGCTGTTGAAGACAATTTACAGTATGGAGATTCACTCTTTGTATCCAACCTACGCAATTTTCTGTATCATTTTTTCCCATTTCTAGTAGTTTCCTTTATTAAAAAGTGTATAAATTTCAAGTTTATTCAGTTTTCAAAATGTAAGTTCAGTCACTTGATTTTTTCCCCCAGCTATTTGCAAAGTAATTTTTATGAAAGGCGAAATGATAGAGGGGATGTATAACTCAGGAAGATTATTGTTTTCGGGCGTTTTGATTGCTTAACAATGAAGCTTTCATCATCAAACTATCGAACACCACAGTCAACTCAAAGATACTACTACTGAATAACTTGCGTAGTTAGAAACCATTCAGGCTGATCTGTAGTATTTCACCTACCAGATCAGAGTGATATAAACACTGGACGGCCTTATCACTAGTTTGAGACCGAGACCACCAATGGTGTACCCGAAAAAATTCAGTTCACAGAACTGAATTAGTTCAGACCACTTGAATCTGGCTAGCTGACCTGTATGAACCGGTATACCTAAAATGGGATGAACGATTTGCGAATGATTTACTGGTTGCACGATCCACGTTAGAATTTTTCACGGTTGAGTAGTCTGTCAACTGTACACCTGTGGTGTCAACAGGGTTTCCGCTGGAATCCACTCAGCCGAGATCGCAAGATGTGATCTTTGGCACAAAAGTGGCATGAAATAGTGAAAGATAGTACTACTGAACAACTTGTGTAGTTAGAAACCACTCAGGGTGTTCAGTGTATAGATGACTCTGACTTGGTTTGCGAAATACTACAGATCAGCCTGCGTGGTTTCTAACTACTCAAGATGTCCAGTAGTAGTATCTTTCGCTACTTCGTGACACTTTTGTGTCAGAGATCACACCTTATAATCTTGGCTAAGTGATTTCCAACAGAAATTCTGTCAACACCACACTTGGGTAGTTGAAAAACTACTCAGCTGTCAGAAATGTCTACGTGGACCGTGCAATTTGTAAATCATTGACAAATTGTTAAACTGTAAAAGGGATTCATCTTTGTTAGTTTCAGATAACGATCTTTTAGTTGTTAATGACTGTGATAAACATATCTTAGTAGAACTGTTTACTGGACTGCTATTCATTTGAAATATAGTCATAAAGTGAGTTTTATACCTTGGTCTATGTTATTTTCAGTGAGGATTTGTTTTTTTGTATACTTGAGTTTCTAATTTCGTTGTGTATATCCTTCTAATAAAAAAATCTAGCTGGAACCAGAAGTTGATTTTTCAAATTTGCTTCAAATTTTAATCTTTCTTATCTAAAAGATCTTACATGAGTTTTTATTGATTATAAATTCTACCCCTTAAATAGGGAAAGATGCTCCGTCAGCCAATATCAACATAGGAACTGGTGTCGCTATGTAACGGTTAAATTACCACATAAAGATACAAGACAAAACGAAAGTTAAAAAAGTGTAGATGATACAATTAGTTGTTGCAGTAATTCGCAAGATGAGAAGAAAAAGGGTTAAACCAGATAATGAAATATGACGTAACGGTTAAAATGACGAGTGTACATCTGTACCACTGTTTGGTTGCAGAGTGTGTGCTAACCGACACTTGTTTTTTACTTGCATGTAATAACACTTAATATTTAAAATCAACCATAACAGTTGAAAAATCACCTTAACTTCTAAGCTCGAATCCAAACAAAGTTGCACACAATCATTTAAAATCACTTTTTTTCAAGTATTGAAATTCACACTTTGATTGTAAAACTTGTTGGTTAACCAAAATGCTATCCCGGAAGTACAGTCAGTCTTAACATTCAAAATTTACTTCCCACTGTTAATATTCGAACTCCTGAACATTTGCTTGCTAATTATTACACTTTCAAAGTATTTTTAATGTCATTTAACTGTCAGCACCACATATAACACTGTTGGCTTTATTTTACTAATATTTCACCTTCAACTTGACCGTTATTTCCATTATTCCTCATAAGATAATTATTTACTTATCTAATCTCATAGTGTATCCTAGAGGTTCAAGGTGAATAACTCTTTGTTTATCTATTGAAACCATTAATTCAGTAAATTTCTTTTTTTCAAATGTATTTCACTGCATAATTCTTTCTTTCAGTTTTCATTAACACTTCAAACATATATAGAATGAAGTGACCTTTCTTTTGTCCTTCGCCTTACTACTAGAATCACGTATATTTCAAAATAACCTAATGATTTCTTAGATATGTTGCTTTTTCAATATTTTAATGGTAGACATCAGTATGTTTTACTACTTATCTCGCATCTATGAATATATATATATATATATATATATATATATATATATATATATATATATATATATATATATATATATTGACTATCTTCATGAATATTTCACTGAAAAATAGTTAGTCACTATTATACGAGAAAAATGAAGAACTACTTTGTTAAGAAAAATGAAAATCAGACATTTTTGGTTATGTATAAAGATGTAGAAGTAGTATTTATCCACTAGTTGAATACGACTTCTGATCGGTTATCACTTTTTCTTTTCTTGCTTAGTGTTGAATTTTCACAGGCCAACAAAATATTATTTTATTTCGCCTATTTGTCGTTTTCTTCTGACATGTGATATTGGATTTTTCTGCAACATGACATTTTGTTATCCTCTGCATT